CTCAGCTTTGAGCTTTAGCTGAAATTCCAAAAGAACAAGAAAATTTTTGTCTTATATTCTGTTACAAATATAATAGAAGTTAAATGTAACTTAATGTATCATTATCTAAAGTTGGGTATCCCACAGCCTGGACAATATAAAGCTACATGACAGACTAAGAAAACGAGACTAGGAAAGTCACTTTAGTGGTGGTGGGAGGTTTGTTCTTCACAAGGGTACTCGAAAAGGGAGACTGTATTTTGTTGTGACAAATTACAAAAGGTGGCTTTTTCTACTCCACACCAAACGTCTCAAGTAGCTAGAGGTGGCCCTGTTGATCAATATATTACTTGGCTTTATTTTGACACTGACATTACATAATGTCTTAATGTATTAGTCTTGATTCATTTTAGGGGGAAGATATCATTGAGGTACTTGCAACTACTCAAGCCTTAGCTATACTTTGAAATGCTAATGGAGTATCTTGTTGAACAATGTTAAATCCTGTAATTTCAAATCCAGAAACACACACTATCAAAACTTAAGAAGATGGCAAGTGTAAACGTAGTCTACTATGAAGGAATGTGCCTTTCAGCTGTCCACATATATAATGTCCAAAACACCCAAATTACACAGAGTACATGGTACTAACCAAGTTTAATACTTCCAGGTATATTTAGTATGAAAAAAAAAATACAGCCTTCAACTTGGAAATGAACTTACCTTTTAAAGGAAACAAACATAACAGAGCTAAACCAGTTAGGGAAAAGTAAAGATCCTATCATACATCAATTACAATTCTGGCTTTAAGCAAAAGGAAAGAAATCAAAAGATGCTGACTGGGCATGCTTTTCTCTAGAGATGTACTGTGATATTCTCTTGTAAAAAGAAATTAAAAAAAAAAACACTCTTTAAATAAACATTTCATTTTGTAAACAGAAAGGCTTGTCAGATAACTCTAAAAAATGGAATGGTTCTCATTTTTCCTCTAATGAAAAATAAAATAAAACCGAAAATCACAGGCTTTGTGCTAACTTGGAATTTGCATAAACCAGTAATGCTTGCTTTATTTTAATAGAGAAACAACACTAACAATGTAACTTAAGAATGCGCTGAATGCAATAAGCCCTTCACTGACAAATCTGAAAATATCACATGCTGTGAATGCTAAAATAATTAGAAATACACACATACGAAACAGCTGGCTGTGTCAGGCACCACCAACTTGCATTGTTGCTAGTATGCCAAATGTCAACGCCCATGTTCAGAAACTGCTATCACTCAGCATAACCTTTGGAATTTCACAGTAGTGGTCAAACATATAAAGCTAAAGCAAAATACCAAGACTATATCTGCTTTCAGATATGAAGAGGGCAAAGACCTGCCACTTTAAATAAATAATGAAGGAAGTCAAATAAAACAACAGCAACAACATAGAAAGGTTCTGTTCTCTACCATGTTACATCCCATAACAGACTTACCCTTCCTTAATCTTTCATTGCATTCTGCTGTTTAAAAACTTCCAAAATTTAATCTTTCCTAATTATCTTTCTTTAAAATTCAAAATCTAATCATTTCATACTTTTTAAGATCATTACAACTAAAAAAAACAACGCAGAAAGAAGACAAGGAACAAGGTAATAATCAGCAATCTGCTACTCTCCAGAGGCTTCTGAATATGTTTTATTTGGAATCGGCTTATTCAGAAAAAAAAAACCCACTGAGATGACATACGATGTTAACTAACATTTTGATAATTAGAAAGTAAAACGGATCCAAATATTTAGGAGCAATGAAAATATTCTCTATCAATGGGCAAGGGACATTCTAGCCTCCATACCGTCCAGCTTATAATTACTCTGCAATCAGGAGTGCTGCAAAATACAAGAGCCACTCTCTATGCAACATGCTTCAGGTGGGATTGGGGGTGGGGGGCTTCAGGGCCTCAGAGCTGAGAAATCATGCCCAGCTTAGTTTGCATGAAGGTTTATTTTAAGTTATTATTTTTTTTAACTACAGTCAGTCTTCTATAGCTACTGGGTTTGTTTATTTTCTTTTTTTCCACCTACTTCTAAGATTCTACACAGGCCAATATATTTATATTACTAGAGCCCTACTGACTCAGAATATACTTCTAGTAAAATAAGAGCTATATATTTGATACAGTTGAGTGTCTACCATTAATATGTGTTGATACTAAACATAAGCAGTCTGTGTTTGAAAATAATATTCTTAATGACTATGCTGTCTTGCTTTCCTTATATTATACAAATAGTGAAGAATGTAAATTTCCTTGGATAATGTAAAAAAATTCATCTATCATACTATATACCATACGCTAAAGGGCAGTATTAGTTAAGAGAGAAGAATCTAAAACTATGATTCTGGGTTCAAATATTATCTCCAAAACTTACCTGCTGGACAAATGTGGGCCAGTTATCTAAAGTCTCTGGGCCTTATTTTCTTCATATGAAAAACGAGAATACTAGTACATACATTAAAGGATTTCTGTGAGGATTCAATGACATAGTATTTATAAAATGCAAAACATAATGTCTAGAATTCAGAGAAGTAAATATCAGCTAATATAATTATTACTAGGGTCATTCATCTGGCCCTACATTCATGAGATTATGATTTATACATCCATATATACACACAAAACATATATTCAATAATAGAGAACACACACACACACACACACACACACACATACTTACAAAGAATTCTACATGGTCATAGCCATCCAACTATCCAAAAGGAAAGAAAGCTGCAAATTTGCTGAGGCTGCTAAAATTTAAAATGCTTCATGTTCAGTCAATTTTTGAAATGCTGTCTTAAGAAATTCAGCAATTACAGGGAATCTGGGCAAAATTCTGCAAGAACAGCTTTTTTCCAAATGTATTTCCAATATGAATTTGATTATTAATCAAATATTAGCATATCTTCTACATATTGTGCCATATTCTCACTGTAGCTAATTTGTTATCTGGTTATACAATACTAAATTTTAAGGAATTAATACTCTTCTAGGACATGAAGAAGCTTACAGGACAGGTTTATTGAAACAAGGCTTAAATTCTAAGCAAGCAAGTGACATGCTCTACAATTAAACAAAAACACTAAGTCCAAGTTGTAAAATGTTTTAGTAATGGCAAAACATGTTCCAAAAATATGAAACCTAATTGAAGAAAGAAATAATGAAACATAACAATACGTAGATTTGAATCTTTATCTTTACATTAATACACAAGAATGCTTCACGGTATATATAGTTTCTAAACCGCTGCCCTTCAAAAGTATGGTTTTCATTTATGATTGCATCTATAGGTTTCTTAAATGCTACAAGTACCGGTATCCAGCTCTGTATCCTTTGTTCTCTCTTGTTAGTATTTTATTATCTGCATCCTATTTGCCGCCTGAATGAGCCTTTTTCCAGACTTCCCTACTGTCATCCACCCTTTATTTCATCAATTAAAAGGGGATCTCAACACTGAATTGAATTTTGTTCTTTGATCTAAAACATTTTATAAGGCATAAATGGCAAGCTCACCAAAGATTATTTGATGCAACTCTAATTACCTTAAATACAATACCAATGAAAGAAAATACTGCAATTTCGATAATTGGTACAGAATAGAAAAGTAATTTTAATTCAGTACAAAAATACTGAGTTTCCTTCCTAAATGTCCTTGTTTGAAGGCAGGTTTGAAGGTAGACGAAAAGGTAGATAGAGATCTAAGTCTAGGAGATTGGATATGACTATTAAGAAGCTTTACTGGTTAGTGAGACTTAAAAAAAAATTATTAAAAACATGGTTCCTCTTTCCCTGTTATAAATATATCACTAGAATGATACTTCTATCCTTAGACTTGGTAAGGGTCTGCAGGAGGTAAGATTAAGGGGACTGTCATAGAAAGGTCAAAACAGAGGGGCCTGGGTAACTCAGTCAATTAGGCATCCAACTCTTGATTTCAAGCTCAGGTCATGATCCCAGCATCATGGGATCGAATGTCGTGTAGAGAGCCACACTGAGCATGGAGCCTGCTTTAAGATTCTCCCTCTCTCTCCCTCCCCAAAAAAAAAAAAAAAAAAAGATAGGATCAAAATAAAATACGTACCAAGAAAGCAGTTAAACAAGGGAAAGCTACGAATTTTCACATGAACTGTCACATACGTAACCTTTCCTCTCACTGAAAGTACTACCCTCATGCAAAGTCCTCGTCTCACCACAGCAGCTCCTATCCTCGTGCATGCACAATTTGGAATTTGCCATTGTGGCAGCAATCGCAAACATTTACTGAGTGACTATAATGGGTCACTCACTGTACCGTGTGCTTTCAACTTCTCACCTCACTTAATCCTCAGATCATTCCCATGTGAAAGGCACTATGATTTTCCACATTTTCTAGAGAAGAAATCAGAGATTTAGAGAAGAAAAGTATCTTGCCCAGAGTTGCAGGAATTCAAGCCAGGATATTTCAGACCCAAGAGGCCAATCTTACAACCATTCCCTCCCATCACCATCTCAGGGCAAGGATGCAGAATTCAAGACTGCTTATGTAATATCAAGATGATACTGCAAAATGTACCCAACACTCACTGATGGAATTCTTGCTCAAAGTAAGCCACAATTACTATTTTTCTTATTTGTAACTTAATGCATCTCAGTAACAAGGAAAAAAACTTTATTTTTTACATCAGCTATCAGTTAAACATGAGACCACAGAGGCATTATTCTCAAAATATGCAATGCATTTATGAACCCAGTATACTATAAACGTCACACAAGAAAATCCTAATACAAGTTTTTATGGTTCCAAGCACATTTTTCCTCTTCTGTTTTACATCAAAGTTCTCAGCCAAGCCTCTCCTAGTTTTCAGCATAGAGTAAAATTAGTGTATGAATATTATGGAAGCGGTTGAATTTAGGACATGTATGTTGCTTTCTTATTTATTTTGCTGTCTCCACGTAACGCTTGAAGTAGGTAGAACAAAGGACAAATGCCAGCTCTTCTTACCTGTTTAAGAGCCTTTTTGGTGTGTTGTTGAAAGGAAGACACTAACTTGCTCTGTACTGCCGTGTTAGCAAGGCTTGAATCTCGAGTGGAGGATGCTTCATCAGTTACCTGCTTCGCACAAACTAGAAACACAGAGAGATAATGATATTACTAATTTGAATTCCTTTTTTTATACCCACTGTAATTAACTCACTTGGAGCGTCTCTCCAATTGAGAATGGATACCTAAAATAAAGCCAAATAGCACAGTAAAAAGAAGAGTATCGAGATTTGAGAGAAGAGATTGGTTAATAACCATGTGGCCACAGTTCCATGTAACCTCTCTACACCTCCGTTTCCTTACCCACTAATTGATGATAATTTCTATGTCACGGGGCTGTTGTGTGGACATAAAAAAAAAGAAAGAAAGAAAGAAAAAAGAAAAACCAGAGCATAATAAGTGCCTCAAGACTTGGGCAACGCATTTATTTTGAACAATGTAAATTAATGAAACTGTTTCAAATCTACCAACTCCCATGTTGTTCTTCAACTTAACAGCCCTCCTTCCACAGACTCTCTGGCCTATTGTGACATATTTATCTTCTCCTCTGGGCTAAGACATCTACCATGGAGAAGGGAAAATAAAACCCAAGATGCTGGATGTCGATTTAAGACAATTGTTTTCAAGGAAACCATGCCCTCGGCAGATTACCACATAATCTGCCCACTTTGACCAGAGTCAAGCTTTCCTCTCGCCTATTCTACAGAGGACATTTTCTTCAAAAAGGCTGCAGAAGAGTCAGTGTCTTGCTGACACGGGTGACAAAGGCCCGCATTCACTTTCTTCTCTATGAGGTCTGGGTTACAGCTAGAACTCTTCTTCAGTCCTCAAACTTTCTACCCTCGAGACAGGGTTGGCCACTGGGTGACTTCAGGAGCAGCACAGATGACGGCCCTGTTCTGTGCACAGCAGAGGGAAGGAGTTATTTGGAAAATCAAAGTAAGGAAGCATTGTGATTAGTGGCAGAATGGAGGCATATGTCAAAGGCAGGAGGTAAGAGGAAGTTAGATGGAAAAAAATAACTTGAGAACATATTGGAAAAGCTCAAAATATGACTTTTTAAGGGCATCAGGGTTAACACTAATCCAAGAAAATTTTCCAAGGAACAGTAACTTGAGAGGATTCTGACCTGAGCTCTAGAGGCAGGTGGAGGAGTAAAAATTATCCTAGCCAAAAATGGAGGCATATGCACGTGCACAGTGTTGAGAACACTCAAGCTGCTTTAGAGAGACTCAAACACATGTTGCCTAGAAATAAAAAATGCGGTTCGTGAAAGAGAATGTTGGGGAAAAAAGAATTACGCAAGTTTTGTTTTAATACAGAAATTAATCAATTTACTGATTACTAAACCAAAGGAACAAGTTTTGGATGACAAAATAAATGTTAGTTATTACTGCCAAGCACTTTACATATGTGATCTCATTTCACTCTTGTCACTTCCTTGCTGCTTCCTTGAAAGACGGAAAGATATTGTCTCTGTTTTAGAGAGAGAAAACTTGAGCTCAGAAAGGCTCAACAATGTGTCCGCAGTAACACAGTCAATGGAATAGCAGAGCTGGGATCCAGGGCCAGACCCGTGGACCTATGGGCCCTATTTGATACCAGATGACATTTTTCCTTAACACACTCTAAACACTGTAGTTACGAAACATGTTATAAGACTGCTTGCATGAACTACGGCTCTTAGGCTTTTCTCCATCAAATTATCACTTAGAGTAAACTGTACACTGTGCTAAATCTTACTCATCAAGAAATATTAGAAATTAATCATCAGTTTAAATTCTAAAGATAAATCGACTTTTACAGTTATTAATACAGATGGTTGTTTCAATGTTCTGAAGTCTCTATGAAGTGTAACGAATTGGGGAGCTGAGAGGAACATGACAGACAGGACAAATGATACCAACTTCATGGGCCTCAATGTTGCAGTAGAAGCCGAGCCACAAGCAAACCCAAAGCAATCTATATATTCAATGCAATACCTATCAAAATAATACCAGCATTCCTCACAGAGATAGAATAAACAATCATAAAACTTGTATGGAACCAGAAAGACCCCAAATAGCCAAAGCAAGCAATCTTGAAAAAGAAAACCAAAGCTGGAGGCATCACAATACCGGACTTCAAGCTGTATTACAAAGCTGTAATCATCAGGATAGTATGGTACTGGCACAAAAACAGACACTCAGATCAATGGAACAGAATAGAGAACCCAGAAATGGACCCATAAACATATGACCAACTAATCTCTGACAAAGCAGGCAAGAATGGAATAAAGACAGTCGCTATAGAAAGTGGTGCTGGAAAAACTACACAGTGACATGCAGAAAAATGAACCTGGACCACTTTCTTATACCATACACAAAAATAAACTCAAAATGGATAAAAGACCCAAACATAAGACAGAAAGCCATAAAAATCCTTGAGGAGAAAGCAGGCAAAAACCTCTCTGACCTTGGCCACAGCAACTTCTTACTCAACATGTCTCCAGAGGCAAGAGAAACAAAAGCACAAATGAACTACTGGGACCTCATCAAATAAAAAGCTTCTGCACAGCAAAAGAAACAATCAGCAAAACTGAAAGGACACTGACAGAATGGGAGAAGATATCTGCAACCGACATATCAGATAAACGGTTAGTATCCAAAATCTATAAACAACTTCTCAAACTCAACACCCAAAAAACAAATAATCCAGTGAAGAAATGGGCAGAAGACATGAATAGACACTTCTCCAAAGAAGACATCCAGATGGCCAACCGACACATGAAAAGATGCTCAACATCACTCATTATCAGGAAAATACAAATCAAAACCACGAGATACCTCGTCACACCTGTCAGAATGGCTAACATTAACAACTCAGGCAACAACAGATGTTGGCGAGGATGGGGAGAAAGAGGATCTCTTCTGCACTGCTGGTAGGAACGCAAACTGGTGCAGCCACTCTGGAAAACAGTATGGGAGGTTCCTCAAAAATTAAAAAAGAACTACCCTATGACCCAGGAATTGCAACACTAGGTATTTATCCAAGGGACACAGGCATGCTATTTCAAGAAGGCACATGCACCCCAATATTTATAGCAGCACTATCAACAGTAGCCTAAGTATGGAAAAAGCCCAGATGTCCATTGATGGATGAATGGATAAAGAGGATGGGGAATATATATACTGATGGAGTATTACTCGGCAATCAAAAAGAATGAAATCTTGCCATTTGCAGCTACGTGGCTGGAACTAGAGGATACTATGCTAAGCAAAATTAGTCACTAAGAGAAAGACAAATATCATATGACTTCACTCATATAAGGACTTTAAGATGCAAAACAGATGAATATAAGGGAAGGGGAGCAAAAATAATATAAAAATGGAGAGTGATGAAACATAAGAGACTCTTAAATATGGAGAACAAACAGAGGGTTACAGAAGGTATTGTGGGAGAGGGGACAGGCTAAATGGGTAAAGGGCATTAAGGAATCTACTCCTGAAATCTCTGTTGAAATATATGCTAAATAATTCGGAAATAAATTTTTAAAAATATAAATAAAAATAAAAATAATAAAAACAAAACCAAAAACAAATGTTTTATTACTTCACATTCTTAGAGTAGTATTTTCACCTACACAAATGGAAACTTACTGGTGAGTTAAAAAGGAGAACAAAATGCAGTCCATGGATATTAGAGAATTTAGGGAATTTATGGAATTTAGGAGAAGACTTCTGCATATTGAACATCTAAATAAATTTACCAATTTGCTTATTAGGAAGTACGTTTATTCCTAAGCCTTTCAAAGGTAAACTCCAATGAAGCAGGATCAAAAATTGACAAATGTTGGGGCGCCTTAGTGGCTCAGCTGATTAAGTGTCCAACTCGATTTCAACTCAGGTCATGATCAGTTGGTCATGGGATCAAGCCCCACATGGGGTTCTACACTGAACAGGCAGCCTGCTTGGAATTCTGTCTCTCCCTCTCTCTCTGCCCCTCCCAATAAAAATTTTTAATTTTTTTTAAATGACAAATACTGAATTAGTACATATGTAACTGAAGCCTGATATTCCTCTTGTATTCTTCTGACTCCTGCAATAAACAGTACAGAGTCAGCTCTCTGTCCCGAGGATGACAGGTATCTTGCAACTCACTCTATTTCTCTCTGACCTAGAAGTCACTGAATATCATGATACCTATTTCAGCACCAGAAAATGTACTGCATTGTTGGATTTAAATTCACTATTGCACTATGTTAATAGTGTTCACATACATTTAGTGCTTCCAAGAGGAAGATGCTGTTTGATTTAGGGCCCAGAATTTCACATGGAGGGCAGGACAATAAAATGAAACAGCATTAAGGAATCCTACGAAGTTTTTTCTCAAAATGACTCACTTTCCTTCCACTCAATTCTATTTTGCTTTACCTTACAGTACATCCTATACTCAAGAGAAGCATCATGAGGATTCCTTCCTATATAGTTTATTTCCTCCCTGCTCCCCACTTCTGGAACTTGCTCCTATTTCCCTGGACAAAACCATTTTCCCCAATTATTTATTTCTGGTAAAATAATTATAGAATCTTAAAAAAAAAAAAAGTAAATATAATAGAGGGGTGCCTGGGTGGCTCAGTTGATTAAGAGTCTGAATTCAGCTCAGGTCATGATCTCATAGTCCATGAATTAGAGCCCAACATCAGGCTCTATGCTGACAGCTCAGAGTCTGGAGCCTGCTTCAGATTCTGTATCTCCCTCTCTCTCTTTGACCCTCCCCTGCTCACACTGTCTCTCTCGAAAATGAATACACATTTAAAAAAAATTTTTTAATAAAATAGAAAATAAAATCTATACATGAGTGTTCCTTTGAGTTAAAAAAACCAAATACCTTATTTTTAATGAAAAAAATCAAGAATAAAATGAACAAAGAAAGGAAAGACTAAAATGCACAATATAGTGTATCCATAAGCTCCAAACAGTGCATGTGCATGTGGTGTGTGTGTGTGTGTGTGTGTGTGTATGCATGCACTGACAAAAATGGACTCTTAGCATGCACGTATGATGATTTGATTCATTCTTTTGCCATGTATCTGGTGAGGATA